ACACACACACACACACACACACACACACACACACACACACACACACACACACACACACCAGTGCTGAATGCTGAAGACTGAAAGTTTTGTCTAAAGGAGACAACACTAAGTTCTCAGAAGTAAACTTATCTTGGTTTTTACTTCTTGGTATAATGTCTTCAAATGATCCAAAACCCATAAAAGATACACATTGAAAACTGTCCCCATCCTGTCTTGAAGGGTTTGTATTTAACCCCAGTCTTATCTCCCAGGGTTGCTGTGCTTTTTGGCATCTCAAATATGACTGCTGACTCTCATTTCTCCACAGGCTATAAAGAACAGGCAGCCTAAATTCTCACCATTCCACCTACCCAATCCATTTTCACTAATGTGGTTTTAGAGGCCACTTCATATCAGTACATAGAGCTCTCTATTATATTAGAAAAAGAGCTGCATTGCATTGTGTTGAACAGCTGGTAGTTCCCAATTGCTGATCACTTGAGCTGTCCCCTATTATTTTGCAATTTAAGTGAGAAATTGAAACCATCTATTCAAAATGAATGCCTTGATTCTTTCTCTTAATACAAATGTTTCTAAACAATAGTTAAGAAGTATAACGAACATTTCCTGGTCCAATTGAAACAAAGGGCAAGAATTTGGTCTGATCCTGACCCAAGCTTTGTAGGCTAATATGAGTCATTTATTTACTCAATGAATATTGACTGAAAATTTGAAATGTTGCAAATATAGACAATACATTGAGGGGATGAAAGAGACAGAGTCTTCTACTGTCATGGACTGGCAGGTACGTGTAAATGAGGTAACAAATAAATGTGTTTTGTTAAAGGAAAAGGAAAAATGGATACCAGGAGAAAAGACAGACTATTTTGGAAGGTCTCTTCAGGGACGCACCATCTTTGCTGAGCTCTGACAAGTGAGTGGCTGCACTGTGCTCAGCATTTTGCATTAGTTTTATTAAACACATTCTAGAGAAACACACTGCCCTCAAATCTATTCTTAGCCGACTGACTAGTACACCCATTCTTCCACCAGATACCTGAGACAGGCTTATATCAAATGCTGAGACTATATCTGTGAATATAACAAGGATAGGTCTGCCCCCTCCCCACAGAAGTTTCCAGACTATTAAACAACTGTGCAGATATTTACACTGGAGGTAAAAACAGTTTACTAGCTGATACCAAGCAGAATCAGAGTTCAGTATGATTTCTCCCCATCCTGTGTAATGGTTCTTTTTCATTCAGAATCTTTCACACATACATTGGTGTTGCCTCTGGTAAATTCCTCATGTCCCAGCAAACAGCCACCCACCCATGCTCATGCAAGAACCCTCATTTAACTCACTGGGTACAAAATAGACATGAAGGAGGTAGGGCTTGTTGGGCTCGGCAGCTAGTTCCAGGACAGGCTCCAAAAATCTACAGAGAAACCCTATCTCAAAAAAAAACCAAATAGACATGAAGGGGGCGGGGCTCAGCAGGAGTGGGAAGGGGCTGGGGGCAATAATAGAGGGTGAATTTGATCAAAATATGTTATGTATGTATGAAATTGTCAACAAGTAGATTTTCAAAAAGAACTTATTTCAAACGAACATTAAAAATTTCACATTAAAAGAAAAGAACAGAAAATTGGTCAGTCAGTTAGAACTTAAACTTAACCTTTTTTTTTTTTCTCAAAAAGAAGTGTCAGGCAGGGTGGTTGTGGTGGTGCACACCTTCAATCCCAGCACTTGGGAGGCAGAGGCAGGTGGATCTCAGTGGGTTTGAGGACAACATGGTCTACAGAGCGAGTTACAGGATGTTACACAGAATACCTTGTCTTGAAATAACCAAAAAAAGAAAAAAGGAAAAAAAAGGAAAAGAAAAAGTATCAACACCCCCTTATCAAAGTTATAATACTCTTTTTTCTCTGTAAGGCTTAGTCAGTTCCTGTCTTTTCAGTGATATTAGCATCTTACAAAGCCCCCTCTCCGGGTCTGTAAAATCCCTTGCAGATGAAAGAAAAGACCTCTTCTGCATAGTCAACCTGGGCTTTACACCAAGCCTCGGAAATGCTGCTAAGAAAAATTCTGAGGAAGGCACCACTGACTGGCCAAATGGGCTCTTGTAGTATTTAAAGTCTCGTCTGAGATACAGCTTTGGGTCCGTGAAAATGGCAGGGCAGAGGGCTCTTCTATCCCCTACGTCTCCACAACACCCTTCCCCCTAGTTAGCCCAAAGAATGACAGCAGTTTGACAGATACACCAAGGACCCTGCCTTAACCCAACTCCCCAACACACGACATTAGAGTGTCCCCTGTCCTGGAGAGAACTTATTGTCATAGATTTCCTATCTCTATACTTCCCAAACATAAACTACGTAGAGGTAATTTGCATACTTTTGGATCTGTAGGAGATGAATTTCCATCTATCATTGAGCAAGGTGTGACCAAATAGACCAGAGAAACATTTGGCCCCTACTCATTTTTTTTTATTTATGCTTCATGAATTTACATGTCATCCTCACGCAGGGGCCATGCTAATCTTCTCTGTGTTGTTCCAATTTTAGTATATGTGCTGCCGAAGCGAGCATCCCTACTCAATTTTTTTCTGAAACATTTTATCATGTAAACACACCTACACAATATTAAAAACTCAAACCTCACCAAAATGCCTAAGCTGAAAACTCAGCCGCTCTGCCTGTAGCCTCCTGTAAGTGCTCAATCCCCCACTACTTCCTCAATAGTGTTCCCACTGAGGAGCGCTGAGAGAAACACCTTTGGCTTCACAGAGCATTTTCCAGATTTACAGTTTTTTTTCTGAACATATATTACAAAGCAAGCAAATAGAATACTCACGAAAGTTAACAGTAGTGATAGCAGACCTGCTTCATGGAAGAGAGACTTGATTTCTTACCTCTGATTTAGTAGATCAAAGTAGTAGTAGTACTAGTAGTAGATCAAAGTGGAAGGAGTGTGACAGTCAGAGAGCTGGCAGCCCGAGTGCCTTCCCTTGCTTGATTGGTGGGCACACTGGAGGGTGGAGCATGGACATTTACATAACCCCGACCTGCCCTTCTTAACCCGTAATGACTTGTACACACAGCAGGCTTTTCGTCAGCTGAGAAAGCTGTGTGCACAGGAGGGAAAGGTGTCCAAAGAGTTGCTGAGAATTGGAGAATTGCCAGAATTGGAGGCCCACACGTGTAGTCCCAGCCCTTCAGAGGTGGAGGCAGGGATTCAGGAGCTGTTGTGAGGGCTAGTCCTGTGAATGGCATAAGTTCTCAGAAAGAGGAAAGAACAATTGAAAGAGACGTAAAGGTATTCTGAAATGAATAAACACAGACCGTGAGGCTTGGGCAGGGTTGGTAAGAATGTTTAGTAACTGGGAAGAACTAAGAATCAACATTGTCAGGTCACTTCAGTGTTTCTCAGCATGCCAGTCATTTAGAGGACTGTAGGAAGCTCTGCCTCCCTGCGCTTCGGCCACAGCAGCCCCGCTACTCGCCTCAGACCCAACCATGTTCCAGCCTTGAGACCTTTGCACCCCCACTGCCTGAAACTCTTCCCTGAGAGCTTGTGGCCAAATCCTCCTTTGGGAAGATTCCCTGCCAGAGGTGCTTCCTTCACCGCCTTCCCTAGGAGAGCACTCTTTTCCTTCTGACAGCCTTTTGCATATCCTATCATAAAGTTTGACAATAAGATTTGTTTTTGTTTTGTTTTGTTTTGTTTTGTTTTGTTTGCTGCTGATGGATCATCTGACAAAAGTTAGCCATTCGGTAAATGTTTAATGTGGTATGTGAATAAATGTCTCATTCAGTTGTTTGTAGTAAAAATCCAACTCAAATTTAGTTAAAGACAGGAATTTCTATGATGGGCATGGTGGCACATGCTTTTAGTCCCAGCACTTGGGATACAAAGGCAGATGGACCTCTGCTGAGTTTGGGGCCAACTTGGTCTACACAGAAGGTTTTGTGGCTGGGTTGGTGTCCCAGTCCCACCCCTGGAAGCCTTGCCTGGTTACAGAGGATGGATAGTTTTTATAACTATACCTCTGAAGTCCAGCTAGATGTCAGGGATGGTGATGCCTCCAGATGTTTTTTTATTGTTCAGAATTGTTTTAGCTACCCTTAGTTTTTTGTTTTTAAATATGCAATTGAGTATTGTCTTTTCAAAGTCTGTAAAGAATTGTGTTGGAATTTTTATGGGGATTGTGTTGAATTTGTAGATTGCTTTTGGTAAGATGGTCATTTTTACTGTACTAATCTTACCTATCCATGAACGTAGGAGATTGCTGTGGGATAATGCTGTGGTACACTTTAAAGATTTGTCACTCATATAGGTTTAATAAAATGCTGATTGGTCAGTAGCCAGGCAGGAAGTATAGATGAGGCAACCAGACTAAAAGAATTCTGGGAAGAAGAAAGGCAGAGATGCAGTTGCCACACAGACACAGAGGAAGCAAGATGAGGATGCCTTACTGAGAAAAGGTACTAAGCCACATGGCTAAACATAGATAAGAATTATGGGTTAATTTAAGTTGTAAGAGGTAGTTAATAATAAGTCTGAGCTAATAGGCCAAACAATTTATAATTAATATAAGCCTCTGTGTGTTTCTTTGGGACTGAATGGCTGCAGGATCAGGCAGGGCAGAAACTTCTGTCTACAGGAGATCTTTCCAACTTCTGATATCTTCTCCTAGTCTTTCTTCAAAGACTTTAAGTTTTTACTATATGGGTCATTCGCTTGCTTGGCTAGGGTTACTCCAAGATATTTTATATTGTTTCTGGCTATTGTACAGGGTGTTGTTTCCCTGATTTCGTTCTCAGTCCGCTTGTCATTTGTATATAGAAGGGCTACAATTTTGTGTTTGTTTTTGTTTTTCCGGATAGGGTTTCTCTGTGTAGTTTTGGAACTCACTCTGTAGAGCAGGCTGTCCTCAAACTCACAGAGATCCACCTACCTCTGCCTCCCAAGTGTTTGGATTAAAGATGTGTGCCACCACTGCATAGTGGATTTTTTTTTTAAAGTAAATCTTGTATTGAGTCACATCATTGAAAGTGTTTATCAACTGTAGGAGTTCCCTAATAGAATTATTGGGGTTGCTTTATTTTATTTGTATACTACAAATAAAATATACAAAATAAGATATAGTAGAGCAGTAAGATGTAATTGCTATGCTAATAATTGATGCTTATATGTTTTATATCATTTTATACCTTAGATAATTTACCATTAAGAAATTATGTTGAAGCTGGGTGATGGTGGCTCACGCCTTTAATCTCAGCACTTGGGAGGCAGAGACAGGCTGATCTCTGTGAGTTCAAGGCCAACCTGGTCTACAAGAGCTAGTTCCAGGATAGGCTCCAAAGCTACAGAGAAATCCTGTCTCAAGAAAAAAAAAGAAAGAAAAGAAAAGAAAAAAGAAAAAGAAATCATGTTGAATCCCTTCATGATAAAGTTCTTGGAGAGAGCAGGAATACAAGGAACATACCTAAACATAATAAAGGCAATATACAGCAAGCCAACAGATAACATCAAATTAAATGGAGAGAAACTCAAAGCGATTCCACTGAAATCAGGAAAAAGACAAGGTTGTCTGCTCTATCCATATCTTTTCAATATAGTACTTGAGGTTCTAGCTAGAGCAATAAGACACCAAAAGGAGATCAAGGGGATACAAATTGGAAAAGAAGACGTAAAACTCTCACTATTTGCTGATGATATTATAGTTTACATAAAGGATTCCAAAATTCTACTAAGGAACTTCTACAATTCATAAACACCTTCAGTAATATAGGAGGATACAAGATTAACTCAAAAAATTCAGTAGCCCTCCTTTACACAGATGATAAATGGACTGAGAAATGAATCAGAGAAATATCACCCTTCACAATAGCCACAAATAGCATGAAATATCTTAGGGTAACTCTAACCAAACAAGTGGAAGACCTGTATGAGAAGAACTTTAAATCTTTAATAAAGAAATTGAAGAAGAAACCAGAAAATGGGAAGAGCTCTCATATTCTTGGATGGGAAGAATTAGCATAGTAAAAATGGCAATCTTAACAAAAGCAATCTACAGATTCAATACAATGCCCATCAAAATCTCAGCAAATTTCTTCACAGACCTCAAAAGAACAATACTCAACTACATATGGAAAAAAAATCCAGGATATCCAAAACAATCTTGTACAATAAAGGAACTTCTGGAGGCATCATAATCCCTGACTTCAAACTCTACTACAGAGCTATAGTACTGAAAACAGTCTGGTATTGACATAAAAACAGATAGGAGGACCAATGGAATCAAATCCAAGACCCAGATATCAGTCCACACACCTATGAACACCTGATTTTTGACAATGAAGCAAAAAAAAATAAAATAGAAAAAAAAGCATATTCAACAAATGGTGATGGCATAATTGGATATCAACATGTAGAAGAATGAAAATAGATCCATATCTATCAGCATGCACAAAACTCAAGTCCAAATGGATCAAAGACCTCAACATAAAACCAACCAAATTGAACCTCATAGAAGAGAAAGTAGGAAGTACGCTTGAACACATTGGCACAAGAGACCACTTCCTAAATACAATTCCAGTATCACAGACACTGAGAGAAACAATTAATAAATGGGACCTCCTGAAACTGAAAAGCTTCTATAAAGCAAAGGACATGGTCAACAAGACAAAATGGCAGCCTACAGAATGGGAAAAGATCATCACCAATCCCACACAGGACAGAGGCTTGATCTTCAAAATATACAAAGAACTCAAGAAATTGGTCATCAAAAGAACAAATAATCCATAAAAAAATGGGGTACAGACCTGAACAGAATTCTCATCAGAGGAATCTAAAATAACTGAAAGACACTTAAAGAAATGCTCAACATCCTTAGACATCATAGAAATGCAAATCAAAACATCTCTGAGATTTCATCTTACACCTGTAAGAATGGCCAAGATAAAAAACACTGATGACAACTTATGCTACAGAGGTTGTGGGGTAAAGGGAACACTCCTGCATTGTTGGTGGGAGTGCAAACTTGTACAAACAGTTTGGATTTTAGTATGGTGATTTCTCAGAAAATTAGTAAACAACCTATCTCAAGACTCAGCAATACTACTTTTGGGTATATACCCAAAGGATGCTCAGTCATACCACAAGGACATGTGCTCAACTATGTTCATAGCTGCATTGTTTGTCATAGCCAGAACCTGGAAGCAGCTTAAATGCCCCTCAACTGAAGAATGGATAAGGAAAATGTGACACATTTTCACAATGGAGTACTAAAAGAAGAAAAAAATATTGACATCTTGAAAGTTGTGGTTAAATGGATATATCTAGAAAACATCAAATTTAGTGAGTTAACCCAGACACAAAAAAGACAAATATTATATGGACTCACTCATAAGTGGCTTTTAGACATAAAGCAAAAAAAAAATAGCAGCCTACAATTCACAATCCCAAAGAACCTAAACATACATGTATCTAAAGAACATGGAAAATAGAAAAAGACAAGATCTCCTGAGTAAATTGGGAGCACGGAGACCATGGGAGAGGGTTGAAGGGGAGGGGAGAAGAAAGGAGGAGAGTGGAGAAGAATATGTAGCTCAATAAAACAATTTTTTTTAAAAAAAAGTACAAAATAAGTAAATAGACAAATAAATAACGCTGCTGCTAAAGCAGCGGCTCCTAGAATTAATCTCTTCTTTTATCAGCTACTTATCTTCATTCCTCTTCATCTCCTACTGGAATTACATATTAATAAATTGATGGTATTACAAAAGTTTCTGCATGTCAATGATCAGTAACTCATTATTTTCAAGAAATTAGTTAGAAATAATGGGGGAAGCATGTCTTAACTTCCTGGCAAAGAACCTATGAAAATCATTGTGCCACTAAAAAAAGAAGGTTGATTATTAGTTCCACACTGGTAATAATTGGCAGATTGCATTAGCATGTTATTCAGTTTTTATAGATTATTAT